GTTTTACAGGTGTTCCACAATATACATGTACAGAGATAGAGATGGAGAGAAACACAAAGACAGAGCGAGAATGAGAGAGAGAGAGAGCCCTTCCGGACAATGTCTACTGTTGAGGACTGAGAAGAGCTTAATATTAGGAAACCGGCAACCCCCCCCCTCCCCCCACACCCGCAAACACCAAACTCTTTGATCCCCTTAAACTAATGATAAAGCATTGCTTTCACTACGATAGAAATTAAACTCTCTAAGCCCTAAGTCACGCTTGGATGGGAGGATTGTCGCAGCAAAGGAGCAACCGATGGGAGCCCGGCGGACACGAAACCCTGTCCCAAGCCTTGCCTTTGTGCTTTCTGACGGGTTTATAGGGTTTCGGGTTTAGGGCGATTTGGGGTTGAGGGCTTTCGGGGCAAAAACGAAAAATGGAAAATGACATGCAGAAGGATTGTAATGTAGATGCCTTAAAGATTAGAATCGAGCTTGGGGTATGGTGTGCTGCGCGTATATAATAAGGCTATATGAGGGTAAGAAGGGGATAGTGTTGGTAATCCTTCAAACTTCCATAAGAAGGATTTAGGCATCCGACGTGAGGATTCCGTAGATTTTTTGGCGTTTGCCTGCCAAGTATTGAACCCACCTGACATTGTTGTTGTTTGCTAGCTCACATTTAAATGGCTGGCGTTGAGGATTTAGGATTCTGTAAAAATGTGTGCCCAACTGCTTCAAGTAGCTATGGTGCTCAGGAAGCCAGAAGGGGATGAATGCATCTGCAAAGTTCAACCCCGTTCGCACGTTTTTTTGTGTTCCTCAGTGATACGATCGTTTCCACTTTCTCTTCCATTCCTTCGTTCCCTCCTAGCGACCTGCCGTCAGCCAGTCGTCAACTTCAAAGGTCTGGCGTGTCCGGCCTGGTCATGAGCCACAGGCTCTCAAGCTGGAAGCCAAGATACAAGATGACCTGGATTGGCCCGAAGTGCGCGTCCTACTGAGATGAGGAGCTGAGAGGTTAGAAGTCCAGTGCATGGGCTCAGGGCTTCAAGCAGAGAAGGGTTTGGGACGTTCTAATACCTTGTCGACAGTTGGAATCCTTTTGAGCTGCATTGTCGCAATTGGCATGGCGCTACACAATGTCTGCAACCCTGATCGAAATATACAGTCATCAACGACAATCCAAACTGTGCGCTTTCAAGCTGCCATTGGCATGCGGATGCACCGCTCACTGCCTAGAACGCTGCCTGGCACTTGCATCGCCATGGTCCAGAACACCTAAGCTCGGCCTTCTGAACCCCACGCAGGGCGCCCAGGCTTCCCCCACCTCCCCGTGTCCTGTGCAAGCCATTGGACCGGGTAGCAATTCACGGATGTGAAGAACTCACAGATCGATGCACAGAGCTCCTCAGTTTGGCACTTGTACTGGGCACCCTAGCTGAACATCAAGGAACGCCCACTGTTTGCAGGTACTATTGGGAAACCGTTCCCTTTAGAACTCTGCCAGGCATGATATGTTGTTCTACCAACGAGTGGCGCTGCCTGTCGAAATCTACTGTTGAGACAAAATGCACAATCTTTTTTCCGATTTGCCTGAAACTATGCTAAACTCCAAGGTTCAGCGCCCAAACTTTAAATGGTATCGCGTGTAAACTCCGTTTCTCACAATACCTGCATGAAATATTGTCGCGCTCTTTTTATGATGGCTCATAAGGACTGGCTATGGAGCACAGTAGCCTCCCCGCAAACGGCACAGCCCTAAGGGAACATCTCTGCAGAAAAAAATGTGCTGCAGTAGGCAGCTTTGAGGATTTGCTCTCCTGTATTGCCGCGCGCTGCAGTGATTTTCAAGCTATCAGTTTGAGAAGACTGTTTCAAGCTATCAGTTTGAGAAGACTGTTTTTAAGACAAATGCCGAAGTCAGCACATGTACTGTCTTCGCACCAGTTTACAGGGTTGCTGTTAAGGATTAAGTTGCCACAAGGGTTAACAGGGTTTCCCCAATATAACAACTTAAGAAAAAAGTTCCTGAACAGCAACCCAGTTTATGTACCCAATTATGGGCCCCTTTTGGCTATAGATGATACTACGGCACGTAGTATTTAGGGGTACGAAAATGGGACCCTCATCCCGGAACTACCCTTATGTACCTGTGGGTCTGTCCTTTCAAATTTGCTCTTCTCGGGGCCAACCCTGAACCCTAAACCCTCAAGGTCTGAGTCCCTGTTCTTCTGCCTCATACACAACCCCATGAACAGGGTCCAAGCCGTAGCAAAACTGGGCATAGTGCCCTTAAGTAGATAGAATATGGCTTTGGGTATATTCTAATAATATCCCGATATACCCCATATTCTATCTACTTAAGGGGGACTAGCAGCTCCGAAGTCAGAGGAGTCGCCGGCGATATCAAACCACAGGCTGTGATCACGTTGTAGTTGATCCTCAGCTTCTCTAGATTTCTCTGGACCAGTCCCCTCCCTCTAGTAATCACTTCCCACGCCTACTCACAATACAGTACCAATTATAGTATATTATACTAGGGAAAACATCGAGCATCAGATGGCGGGGGCAGGGGGATTACTTAGGGCGACCTGAATAGGTTTGGGTTTCTACAGGATGTTGGAGCTCCAGGTGTAGGTTTAGGAAAAATCGACTGTACCTCAATGCGCAACCGCAAGTGCGCGCCCGTCCGCGCCATCCTTCACTATTTAGCAGGGTTGCCGTGAAGTGGTCGCGGCTTCCACGAATGGCCAAGGCAGAAAGCAAACAAGGGTTTATAGTCGCCATTAAGTTGAAAATATGAAACTCCCCAAAACGATCCGATAAGAAGATCCCTATATACCCTGTGTTCATCTTTGTTCTATCTTCTCAAGGGGGTCTATAGGCTTGAGAGCTTCGAGGTTTGAAGCACGCGCACCACACGGCAGGCAGACATGATAGGGGCTCGGTGTGTTTAAGCACCAGCATATGCAAAACTACTACTCGGTTCCACACCAAGAGTGCATCCTCATGCATGGGTCCACATACATAACTGTACCCATTTCTTCGCCAGTACAAAACGTTACAAGTGCTTAAAATGTCAGTTAAGACTTGCGAGCTGTGCTGTGTAATTACAAGTCGTTTGAACCCAGGACACGCTGCAGGCATGAACTTGCTACGGCCCAGCAAATCCACGTCAGCTTATCCTAGCAGCGGCATATGCCGGCTCCGCCATGCACTCATCAGAAGCTCGCTTGGTTGCGGGACTCACGGTGTTAGCACCATCCAGCCCACCCACCCCGGCAGTCGAAGCAATCAGCCCGGTCCGATCTAGGATAATGTTACACAGCTGGTATAGAAATATGACCCCGTTATATCACATGAAAAAATCAATGGAACATGAAATGGAAGTTGGGATTAGATGGGGTTTATGGGGTTTCTGAGTTCCATGGCCAACCGGTGCTCGCGGCTGTAGCAGCGGACTGGGCTCGGGATTCGCTTCGGTCCATGGGATTCGCGTATGTAGGACATCTGCTGGCTGACCCTGCAGGATAATCAGCACGTTCAACATCGAACCTGTCAGGACAAATGCAAGGCCCCATGCTGATGACTTGAATCTGCCACGTTGTTTCTTTTGGTATGGAATGGAGTTCGGAATTGGGGCCAAAATCGTGGAATGCTGGCACTACTTCCTGGTCTCCTTGGACCTAGCACAGCATCATTGCGTGTAGCCTGCCTCTGGCCTGCTTGTGAACCGGGAGTGTTGAAATCGGCAGCCATAGAATGCTCAAGAATGTGTCCACAAGCAGGCTATTTGGAACACCTGCACTGCCAACCTGCTTCTGGGAATGCATGCCCCAATGAATTCCAAAAGTGGAACCCATGCTATCCAGTTCTGTTTGTCAGTTATTTTTTCGACTGTTGTACGGCGGGAACGTCTCCAGCGTCTAGGCTGTCAAAAACCTCCCACCGACAGCTTGCCAGCTACTGTTACTGTCGCCACGCTGCTCTGTAGAGTGCGTGCTTCAAAAAAGGCTTGAGCGCTTCAAGAAAAGGATTTAATGTCTAAATGGAAGAAATCTGGGGATAGCCGTGGAGACATATAGCCCATTGAGTTTCGGCCCAGACTCAGCTCGTCAAACGAGATCGTGTGGTAGATGTGCCAGTGGAGGTAGCAGAAACCTGCAGAGACTGTGAAACCTTCTGGCCTTATGATTTGGGTACTGCACCCACCGAGTAGCAAATCTGTGATATGGGCACTATCCAGGGCCATATATATATATATATATATGTTTATGGACACATATATAAATACCATTATACATATTTTACATATACTTGCACCTTCATAATAATATACATGTTGATTAACTTTTCCTCGTAATAGCTCCAAAACCTCGCATGAAGCCAGCTTGGTTCTGTATTCTACAATACAAACCACCATGTGGGCTGAGGTCAGGTTGGGTTTAACGGCTCACAAGGTAGATGCGTCAGGTAGGCTGCAATTACCGCGGACATCGCAGCCCAAACGGCGCGAAGCCTTCAGTTACAAGGGCCCCTCAAACCCCCAACATGGACACTGTGTGGGGCGCCCCTTAAGGAGAACTTCGGGGTCAAAACGAGGTGCCGAACACCACAGCTTGGACGATGAGGATGACGGCAAAAAGATTGCACTGCAGACCTCAGGAGTCAAAAGCTGCAAGTACATTAGGCGGCTTAGGTTCAGGGCGTGGAAGGACACGTGCTCAGACAGTGTGGGGCTTTGCATTGCGGCTTTAGAGTGTACTCTTTACAGGAAGTCTTCCTACGTCCATTGCAGCCTGCTAGTTGGCTGCAGCTACACACCAATCGGAAAGCGATTTGCCGGTTCAAACGCTTGTAATAGCCCATCAGGGTCACGCCTTTTCTGCTTCACAGTTATAGTTCTCCGGCATCCTCCGGCGACGGCTGCTTGCAGAGCTAGAGCAGTAGCACTTTGCGTGGAAAACAACATGGTCTGTGCAGGGCGCTACGCCTCTTCTGCACAACCTGACCAACTAAACTGCAATCATTGCTGGCTCCACCAACACGTTATCGCTGCTTGCAACTTGCTCTCGGCACAACTTGTCCACGTTGTCACAGCCAGCATCCGTAGCCTTCTTTGAGCAAAATAGAATTCCAGCTGCTGTGCAGTTGCCTCTGGCTCCGCACCTCGCTGCATCTGCTGCGCAAATGCATCTGGAGTTTGGCACGCTCGCTTTGTCCAGCAACTGGACGCACGTTGTAAAGCATTGGTCGCACACTCCAGAACCGTCAGCGAACCCAAACATGCCCGTCTTTGCTGCACTACTCTTGCTGCAGGTGAAAGAGTGACTCTCTCTCCCACAACGATCAACATCAAGCAAGCCATTGGACCACGTAACTTTGTTTGTGCTGCAGCTCCCTGAAGCGAACCGCTCCAAGGCCTTCCCGAGGTCGCTGGATTTTTCTGGGCTCAGTGAACCTGAAGTGCAGGTCACTGAATTGCTGTAGAAAGTCCGAACCACGTCACGTAGGCAGGAATCAGAAGAGACACAGTGGCGTCCGGTTGGTAGCTCAACTTTAGCCTTGCAAGTCGGCAAAGCCTCGAAGGTAGCACGTGCAGATCGCAAAGGAGTCTGCCCATCCAAGTCACCGTTCGTCACGAGCACAGTCACGTTACTCGCAGGGTGCCCGTTGCTATGGACAAGTGCAGAATTTTCACGATAGCCATATTTGTTGAATACATCTTGGTACCGGTTCATCAATGTCACAAAGTCCGGTGCCCAAAACACACGTTCATCGAAGAATCGCCGCCATGATGCCAAACTGCAGCTGCCATGCTGCGCCTCCTCCAGCCCCCAGGCATGCAGCTCAGGAGGTCCTTTCCTTAGCTCAATAAAATTAAGAGTCGAAGACTTCTTCTCTTCGCTTGTTCTTCGTTCTTCCTGAGAATGTTATTTACATGTGCTTGCCGTCATAGTCGTCATCATTGTGGCGGCGGCAGCAGCAGCAGCAGCAGCAGCAGCAGCAGCAGTAGCAGTGGCAGCTGCACAGCAGCAAAGGAATAGTAAATAGTAGCAAGAGCAGTCGCAGTTAGGGCTAGTGTTATTGTGGCTACTTACTGGCCTGCTTGCTTGCTTGAAATGGTTTCGGAGTGTCTTTGTGCGCTGTTTTGGTGCTTCTTGTTTGTTTGGTTGTTAGTTGTTAAGTTGGTTGGTTGGTTGGTTGGTTTGCTGGTTGGTTGGTTGGTTGGTTGGTTGGTTGGTTGGTTGGTTGGTTGGTTGGTTGGTTGGTTGGTTGGTTGGTTGGTTGGTTGGTTGGTTGGTTGGTTGGTTGGTTGGTTGGTTGATTGGCTGGTTGGTGTGTGAGTGGCCGCGGCGGTGGTGGCGGTTGTTGTTCTTGTTCTTGAATGCGCCATTGCTTTTCCATGTTGTTTATCGTGCTCCTTGTAGTCGCCGCCTTCGTAGGCGTAGTCGTTGGTCGTCGTCGTCGTCGTCGTCGTCGTCGTCGTCCAAGACTACCGGCGGAGCATGCAATTCGCCCGCACCTGCTGTTTTAGGATGGGTCTGAGACCCTTGACTTGTCCGATGGGTACGCATTCTGGCAAAAGATCCGGGCTCTTTGCCGGAATTCGTCACCCTCCTTCGAGATCGTGTCTCGCGAAAGAGCGTTCTAGGATTCTTCCGAAGTTCTAAGATGCCTGAATTGCCAAAATTTTTGGGAGTTTTGGGGATATATTCAGTGGGCACGAAGTCCCGCAAACAACATACACTAAACCTGGCAACCCCTTGAAGCAAAACAACCCGAACCCCCCATACCTAAACAACCCCTAGCACTATGAGACATGAACAACCCCAAACCCTCAACAAACCCAGGCCGCAAAACATAAACCCTTACTGAACCCTAAGACCAAGAAAAACCCTAAGCCCTGGACAACCCAAACACTCAAACCCAAAGAACCCCAAGCACTAAAACCTAAACAGCCCGAGACCCTAAAACCTCCAAATCTCCAGGCCCTAGCCCCTAAAATCCTTCAGCCCGTTACAACTGCAAACCCTCAACCTGCCCTAAATAATCCTAAACCCTAAAACCAAGAGAATCCCAAAATCTAAAAGTCGAAAAGCCGTAAACTCCACCCCAAAACCACCCAAAACTGAACCCTAAACCACCAACATCCTGAACCCCAATACTTGGACAACCCAAAACCTTTGAATCTTGACAACCACAAACCCTCAAACCTGAGTGTGGGCGAATTACGTGCTTCGCGCGTTGAAGTAGAAGTAGGAATAAAGCGTAGAACTCGAACGTAGATAAAGTAGAGATAGAACTAGAAGCGGTGGCAGCGGCGGGAGCGGTGGTGGTCGTTGCCGCCTTCGGCGTAACGGGCAGTAGCAGTAGCAGCAGCAGTAGTAGTAGTAGGCTACTAGTAGTAGTAGTAGTAGTAGTAGCAGCAGCAGCAGCAGTAGCAGTAGAAGTAGCAGTAGCAGTAGCAGCAGCAGCAGCAGTAGCAGTAGCAGTAGCAGTAGCAGTAGCGGTAGCAGCAGTCGTAGTAGCAGCAGTAGCAGTAGAAGTAGCAGCAGCAGCAGCAGCAGTAGCAGT